CCTCATTCCGCGACTGAGTCCTCCCGTCAACACCCACCTCCCTGACACCATTTGTGTTTTTTTTTGTTTTTACATTTGTGAGCCATCAGACTCATACTCTCTTAGATTTGTGAGCCATTCATTATTGCCCTAAATGTTCATCAAATACTAACTTACAATAAACACTTTTGTTCATATATTAATATCTAAAACGCAAAAACTTGATTTGTTCTCCTAACTTTTCTCAGGCTCACCATGCACAAAGTCTTTCTCGGGAACAAATTAATTGTCTGAGAAAAGAAGATTTGCCTGCTAATCCATTTAATCTTGAGCCAGGTGTCTTGTTCAGGTGTCAATTAATTCTACATCACATCATGGCCATGCAATCTTTGGGCGAAGTCAAAGATAGCTCAGTGCAGTCAATATAATGTCCATTTCTTTACTAACTATACCAGTGGGCATTTTACTGGTACGCAACTCATGAATTCAAAGGACCAGATACTGTTGATTAATAGAGTGTAAACAGGCCCAAGATTGTACGTATGCTCTCATTACGTGGTTGGATTTAGAGGTTTGGTGAGGTTAAGATTCTTAACTGTCAATAAGTCCTGCGGTTGTTTAGCGCTAAAATCTTTTTCACCTCGCACATTAGGGTCAGTTCACACTCTTAACCGATAAGTTGCACCAATGGTTTAACCCACAAAAGTCTGGGGAAGTCGTTTCACACACGTTAAAATCAGTGTCCGTTCGTTTTTTGGTAAAGAAGATTCTCTAATAACTGTGACCGATGAGCCACCCAAGTTTTTCTGGACAAAAGAATCAACAGTAGGTTATGTACTATATGTACATGTTGCTTTTTGTTGGTTTGGGCACTTTCGTGAGCATATGTAACCATGGCAGGGGCCGGTACCTAATCCTCCTCAGGCGTGTCCTTGCACGCCTTTCTTGCTTTAAAACATCCCGTTGACCTCCCGTACCATATAAAGACTCTAACACTGATAGAAACTGAAGCCTGGATTTTAACGCTATAGATGGTAACGCATTGAAACCAGGTTGATAAGTATTGACACCCCTGGTGAGAACAGCGTTTTGGGACAAGATTTGTTAGTAATCCCGCTGACATTCTCCTCTTTGAACACCTCCGCGAAAATCCTCAGATAAGCAGCTCAGGGAAAATTCAAATATTTTTTATATAAAAGGGATAGAGTCATCTTGAATCTAAGTTTTTTTTTTTAAATGATTGTTTAAAACTGGGTGATGCTTTCTTGATTTGAAGATTTATTTTATTGAAGCCCTCACTCACAACAAGAAAAAATGTTGAACTTGTTGAATCCTCTTTTTAATGCGTAAGCTAAAGGCAAAATGGAAGAAATACCTTGGATTATTAGGCTAATACTGTGAATAACATGGTTGGACTGCCTTACAAATCTAAAATCAATGCATATGTGCTGTCAGACAGCCAGATAAAGACCTTTATTAATGTTCTGTAACCTGGATAACATTTTACCACAACCCTTTAATATCCTGTTTGGAAGTCAGCCCAGTGAGACCACTTCTATCTTATGTAAAATGAAGAGAAAATACGCATTGTCTTCAATTTTGAGACATTTTTAATACACTGTCATCTCACTTGTTGAAAAAATATTAATTTAATTTAATTTTACACAAAGAAAATGCTTGTTTTTCTAAACATATCTACATAGGTGTGAATGATTCCCAAACATTTGTCCTCCGATAAGATAATTTCTTATTCCACTTTGTAACAATTTGATTAAAGATGTGAATAAATATGGAGGTTAACACATTTACTTTGATACCTTTAGTTCAGTAAAATACTGCACAAATAAAGTCCAGTAAGACTGGTACACTGCCTTTGCTGCTGTTTTTTTCTCTTTTCATACCCAAACACAAATAGATAAAACACAGGGAGAAAGTGAAGAGAAATAGTTGACTCATCTCATTCTTTTCTGCCGGCGGCAGATGCAGCTCTCAAGTGACTTAACTCGTACTGCTAAAATGTGTTGGCTTTTCACTTTGGATTATGGTGAGATGAATATTCTGGACGCCCAGGAGTCGCCCAGTGCCACTTCTGTCAGGAGCAGTGTGTATCCAGCTTTTAACACTTTTGCAGTCTTAACACAACCGCCTGGAAAGGAAAGAAGATGCACAAAGCTAAATAACCCAAATTTCCATCTTACATGCACTTCTTTTGTATTGGAACTAGATATTTTATTTCATGCATATATATATATATATATATATATATATATATATATATATATATATATATATATATATATATATTTGTCAACATTTGGTTGTAGACAAATACTGATAAACAAGCATTGTATTAGATTATTTATTATATTAATCTTTACACCTGGAGCTGGGAAACTTGGAAAACATGCAGGGTAGTGTCCCTTTAGAACCAGGACT